GCATTAATTAAAATTATTAATTTCATTCATTAAGTGCCTTAAAATTGCATTTGAAAGTCACGATTTTGGCCAATTTTGGCTGCTCCTGATAGACTGTCTTTTTATCGAAAAAATAATAGATTTTTAAATTACACCAAAGTAGGTTTGGTTTACTGCTAACCAGGCGTAAATATGAATTTATAAAAAATTATCCTCCTACTTTTTATCTTTTATATATATATATATATATATACACGCGTATATATATATGCGTGTATATATATATATATATATATATATATATATATATATTATGTCGATTTTTGTAATACTGACACTCAATAAATTTAATTCTGTCTATATGTCTTATTTATTTACACAGTTTGAAAAATTATTGGCTCCAAATATTTTTTTCAGTCAAATGGGGTTCGATCTGTCGATCCTCGAATTGCTATTCTGGCCTAAACCGTATCTTTACGACCTCGGCCATTCGCACATTTGGCATACAATATTTTTAGGAAACTTATATCTTTCATTTTAAAAATAAGACTATATTTTTAAAAATAGCAGGGAGTTCTGTATAACTAATTGGCCGAGATCGTTAAGTGACCACTACGGTTGTTCAGCGTGCCTCGGTTCAAATCCCGAAGATGCTTGAAAAATCGAATGTATAGTTTTTCATAATTATCAAATATTAGTTCAAAATATTAAATTCAGGTGTCGCATTTCGACCTTGACACTTAGTAAATTTCTGAAAAACAAAAAACTCAAGTTTCGCACTTGACTGTTGTAAGAGAGATACATAAAGAGAAAAAAAAACAGAAAAAAAAGGTAGAGGAAGAACTGGGGAAAGAGAGGGGTAGAGGCAGATGATGAATAAGAGAGATGCGTATGATACATATTCTTTATTAAAATTCAATATTAATATAATATAGGAATAAAAATAACTTTTATCATCAATAACTTAAATAGCCGAGCGGTTTAAGTGACCGCATACTCGGTGAAATCACTCTGGAGGCACAAGGTGAGCAGGATCGAGTCCAACTGAAGGCGCCACGACCAACTATGAAGCAGAAAAAATGGAGCAGTGCTGGTGAATGGCTGTTGGCGAGCGCAGAGGGTCCTGAAACGAACACACGAAGTGATGGTCAACCTGAGGTTCATGATGCGAGAGGTTACACGCAGAGAGACACATTGCGAAAGATGCATGCCGAACCCAGAAATCTACCCAAAAACCACAACATGCGAAAAAAAAACACCAAAAAAAGGAAAAAAATGTGAAAAAAAGCGGAAAAGAGGAGGAGGAGGAGGAGGAGAAGGGGAGGTGGGAGCCTTAAAAAACCCCCCTAAGTCCCAGGTCAATTTTTCTCTTTTCTGTTCAGCGTTGAAACTTTTTTATGTTTTTTAGTGTTCCCTCACACCAATTCCCAAAACCAACACTCGAATGAAATCAAGTCCACGTTGAAATTTTCACAACGAGAAAAAATTACTGGGACTTAGTTAGAACTTTTAACTTTGTCCCAATAAAATTTTCTCGTTGTGAAATATTCAATGTGAGCCTCATTCATTCGAATGTTGGCTTTGGGATAATACAGCATGCATAAATAACTCGTCTGTCTTAATTGAAAAGGTTTCAGAAAATTTGGACTTAGAAAAAAAAAATTATCTGAAAGAATTATAATCAGAAAATTTGGACTTAGAAAAAAAAAATTATTCGAGAGAATTATTTAATTAATCGATGAAATAAAATGATATTAATCGAATCAAAATTGTTTATACGACTTGATAAAACATGTGAAACCTTTACAATTAATCGAGACACAAACAAATTTAGTTGACTTGAATAATATACAAATTATTGGAAAAAGCCAAAAATGAAATTTAATAAAACTTGTAAAATGAAATAATAAAAAATGTTTAAAAACTTGAACATTAAAAACTTCAAAACTGTTATAAAGCTAATTGTTATCCTAAAGAAATTGAGTTAAATAATTTTTACAACTTCAATCGAATAATAAACTTGTAAACAAAATTAAATTTTGTCTAATCATTCAAGTCAACTCTTTGAAACTTTGATTGTATGTCTTGATCAAAATTGTTTTTAGCAATAAAAGAATAAAAATCTATCATTTTGCTATGCAGCGATATAATTGAATAAATTTAAAATAAAACTACAGTAAAAGACTTTTAAAGCTGCATTTAATTAACAATTTGGTAAGATGTATTAAATATTTGAAAGAATTTGATCAAAATCAACAATCGTGTTATCCATAAATAAGAATGTTCATGCAGTCAATATCGCTTGGGGAAAACACATGATTCTTGATACTGAAAATGTCAAATACAAATACAAATATTTTTTCTTTATAATAATGAACAAGAGGTGTAATAAAACAGAGATTTTTGTAAGAAAGTAAATTTGTAACTTGTAATTTATAACAAAATACCATCAATTTAGGAGTTATCTAAGGTAAGGTGCTAGGGCCCCTTCAACAAATAAGTAATCGAAGCATACAAAAAGCTGTATTGGTTAACTAATCATTTAGCAACAAAAATTTAATATATAAGAATTCTGAATTCCACACAAAATAGTGTTATTTATAGAATAAAAGAATTCATAAAAGGCACTTGTATAAATAAATAAAAAAACTGAATCAACATGTTTTCCCCATAGCAAATTAAATAAGAACAACATCTTTTACACATATGTCTGCCAAATTATTTTAAAATCTTTTATTAGCATAATAGTTGTTGATGAATTAACAAAAAAAAAATGTATTTTATGTATTAAAAATTAATAAAGTATACCCTATTGAAAAAATGATTTTGACTCAATTATTATAATATAAACAATGTTTTCAGCAGATATATGTGTACAACTATATTATGCACGAGCCAGAAAATATTCCACTAAAATGTATACAGGCTGCCTTATAAATAATATCGGATAACAAAGGGACAAGTTCTCAAAAAATCTTCCAATCAATTTTCATTTATTCATTTCATTTAATATGAAAAACAAGCATTAAACACATATTTAATAAGAAGTATTATTATTACAAGCATAAAAGTAGCATATAATACAAAGTCGGTCAATAATTGTAAACTCTGTTCAGAAAATAAATTATAAGTAATATCTTTTTATTTATTTCTATTCAAATCATAGTTTTATTGAAAATGACAAACGATTTTCAAAATTCTTTGACTACTTTAAATTCAAAACTCAGAAAAACTTAATGCATTTATATATATATATATATATATATATATACATAAGTTAAATATTGAATATTTAAAACACTATAGGCACAACAGATATAGTACGATAAATGCCTGTATATAATTCCAGAAATATATCCTTTGACTCGCTTTGTATAAAACATGCTTTGCACTTACATTGTTTGATATCCTCTATAGCAGCTCCCGGAACACAAATCCAATACACGAACCACCTCTAGAGCATCTGCCAGAAATCTCAAGTACTCGACACAAAATCACTACTTTCGAATCACTACATAACTTTAGTCTTTTACAAGTTTATTTGACATGTTGCAATTGTTCGAGTAAGTCTTTACACAATACACGACACACGACTTATATTAGAGACTTTCGTGAATTTAGAATTCGATATAAAGAGATATGTGTTGGAAGTACTCAAATATAATCTACAAAAGCACATATATAAATTATACTATTGATAATTGCATGTATATAATTAAAGGATACATTGGCGCTGTAAATGAATTAATAACCTACAAAAGCACATATATAAATTATACTATTGATAATTGCATGTATACAATTAAAGGATACATTGGCGCTGTGAATGAATTGTTTAATTATAAAATTGATTCAAAATGAAGACCCTGAAAGAGATACTTGTCAAAGGCACCTCCACACATATCCATTTTTTCGGCTTTTAATTAACGTTTCACGATAAATTTATTATATCAAAATGATCTACTAAATTAATTACACGTTTTGATGCATAAATTAATTAAAACTAATCAAAGATTTAATTTAAAAAAACGTTAATTAACGCTAGCACATGGTAATTCATGAAAATTTCTTTGACAATCGAGTGGCGATTGAAGTTGTCAACATGTGTCAGAATGGCTGTCACCTCTTGTGCCATTTAAAGCGCGAAATTCAAATATATGGTATTTAAATTATCAGTTTTCATAAAAGTACATAATTAGTGAATGATTTGATTTTTGCGATAAATAAATTATATCTGAATTAAAAGATTGTCTTAATTGAAAAAATAACTGGAACCTTGATGATTAATTAATATAGAATTTAAAATATAATATATAATTATCCAAGAAATATAAAACTACAAGAAATAAAAATATCCGAAAAAGTAGATATTAATGGCATTTATTTCGATTTATAAAATATACAAGTATTCATCATTAACTATATTGTTAAAGGCTCTTAGTATATACCTCTTACTTTAGATTTTGCTAGAACTTATTAACTATGATAAGAATTATACTTAATAGTCACTATTATGTGCAAAATTTTACAAGTATCGCAACAAATTCACAGACAACATACCAAAGCATATATATATATATATATATATATATATATATATGTGTGTGTGTGTGTGTGTGTGTTTCCATTCACTCTTCTAAATTTATTTGCAAGGTAAAAAAATAATTTCTAATACTATTTTCTAAACGCATTCATCGCCACATTTGTATTTCTGTTTTTTTTTTGGGGGGAAAACGTGTGCTCGATTTATGTAGTTTTTGCTCAAGTCGTACTACTGTCTAAGACGTACGCCGGATATATTTTATCTCATAATTTTAATTTGCATCATTTGGTGCCCACTGTTAAATAAAACTAAATAATATTATTTCGTTGACTGAGCAAGAGTTCACAGTTGAATGGCTGGCCGTTACTGTGTTATTTTATTTCGAGACTTATAGTGAGTACATGCATATGGGTAATTTAATTTGAAGTTTTATTTACATTATTATCATCTGCTAACTCACTTCAATTTATAGATCAGAAGTATTGTGTAAATTGGACTACAATCATCATGCCATCAAGAATTTTAAAGCAAAATTACTTTTCCATGAAAGCCATTTTTTGTTTTAAATGCAAAATTTTATTTCTCTTACTTGAGAAAAAGTTACAATTTGAACAACAAATTGACAAAGAATAGTTACAATTTGAATGAATATAATCATGCAAACAAAGACTATTCGGTGTTTCGCTGGAGCGCTGCATTGCACACGAAGACAGCTTTGGTGACGCATCAACAATGACATTTAATAATGTATGTATAATCAACTAAATTCAATAATAATTTGTGTATTTTGCAGGTGCGGGTAGGTTTGAGTTTGCTGCTACCAGAGTTCTTCAGTTTTTATACGAACATTGTTACTGTGACGCTCTGAATGTGGTATTTATTGGAATTGCATTTGGCACGAATAGATTTATTAAGCGGTGATTTTGTTCAAGATGTTAATTGACCAATACTTTAGTTTTCACTATAACTTTTAAAAATTTACAAAATCATTAAAGCATTGAATTTCATGATTCGGATGATCACTTGCACGATATGCCTTGCATGTCGGTTAATTTATTAGTTAGGTAGCACCAGTACTTTTATTATTAATAAAAATAACAAATACTAACACACTAATCTATTCAACTATTGAAAAATAATGTGGTCGTTTGAATCATTTGAGATTATGCTATGTGGATTTGACATATTACATTAAATATTCATTTTCGCTGTTTTCAATTCATGTTGATGCATTTCATATAAAACCAAGTGCAATTCTTAAACTGCTAGTAAATTTCTACATTATATTTGTAGGCATCAAGATGAAATCACATGAAGGCCACAAGATATCATATCACGGAAATTGTTGATTGTCGAATGGCCAAGTATCGAGTGAAAATTGCACACTGACCCCTTCACCGGCAATCGCTCTGAAAATAATTTAAAAAGTACGTTTTTAACGATAATCAGTATAAATGTGAACAATAAATAACTACCACGCTTTCGTACCGTTCTCGGCTGGACCAAGGAGTTGTGTAGGCGTGTAACTCTTGTAACTTATAAACCGCCGTTTGTGCAAAATAAATGAAACATTCGAAAAACTTGTCCAAAATTAAATTATCTACAACATTGTCTAACACCACAACATACTACAACAACTCGGTATACACTAAAACTCTAAACTCTATAGCCTATATATATAGCTTAACCGTATATTTTCTTTTCCTCCAGGTCGCAACAAATACGCAATGTTAAAACTGTCGACGATTCTTCGTAATTTCCGCGTCCATCAGCGATTCAACTGAAAAGGACTTCAGGCTTCAGGCATGAACATTTTCTCAAATTTTACATGTTGTATATATATATATATTTATGTGCTTGTATCATTATATTATATACCCTTCATATTACATCTTGTATATATATGCTTTGGTTCCGGTTACACCTTCAATGTTCTGACGGAACTTCCGGGTTTTGAAAGTGCCATTATCAGACAAAAACTTTTGTAACAACTTTTTGTAAAAAAAAAACACTTGAAGAAGTGAATTATGCACTTTATGCAAAAAATCAAATAATGTAAATGTGTATATATATGCTTGTATCAAAATGTTACTTTTAATTATTCAATCGTGAGTTTATTGTTATTGTTGCAAATTTAAATAATTTTTCTATCATATACATTTTTGCATGTAAGTAATTCATGTCGAGAGGGATGTTAGAAATATTTTGTATATTTTATTTAATTAGTTTTCTATATAAGTTTTTTATATTAGTTTTATTTAATTATTCTATTTTTATAATTTGTGTAATTATTTATAAATGTTGTTTTCCTAATTATCTTTATGTAATTGATACAAACAATTCAGATAATAAAAATAGAAAGAAAACTATGCTAAACTAAACTATACTAAAATGTTGATACTAAAAACTATGTTACCAGTCTATATAAATATATGTTCATGCTCTATGCTCAATTTTTGATGTAAATATTCATAGATAAGTAAACATAAATGTAATGTAAATATTTTTAAAAGATATCAACAGTGCTGCCTGGATCTTGGTTGAACAAGTTGTTTCTTTATAATAATAATAAATAAATAGACTTAAAGTTGAAGTGTGTTTATTGTGAAAATATGATTTAGGTAAGTACAAAATAATGTTTTATATTTTAATTTTAAGGCAAAGTGGTTCATGTTTATGTATTTATAAATATTTTGTCAAACTGTTGGGCATAATTCTAAACAGATATTTGTTTCAACACATTGCTTGGGATATTCATTAAGGTCCAAAATAATGATTAATACATGAATTTGTTACTATAAACGTCAAAAGTAAAAAAGGCGAAAGATTTATTCGCTCTGAAGGGAAACCAGAGTAAAAACGTCAAAAGTGAATTAGATTGTTTAAGGTTAAACGTCAAACGTCAAAATTGACAGTTGTTTGACAGCTGTTTATTTCCAAATGTGTTTTCAAATGTGTTAATTATTAAATATTTTATTTGAGGATAAAACCACAAAAACTTGGTGAAAAAATCCGTGGATAGATATCTTTAAATAAATCAAGTAGAACAAGTCGCATTTAGTTCATTTTTTCTTACTTTTTCAAAACTGCTCAAAGTCAGAAATATTTCAAAAGACGAAAATACGTTTTTTCATTGTTCACACAAAACGTGTGTTTTTTATACAAGGAAATACGTTTTTGAATGTTTTTTTGAAAACAAATATTTGTGTATTAATTGTCGTGTTAATAATATTGATTAAAAGTGCAGTTGTTATCAATATTTCAAAATTTATATCATGAAAGGGTCAAAATTCTTAAATGCTCTTTGCAAGTAATGTTTTTTCTTTTGAATCATATGTACCATTTTCAATTAAATTAATTAATTAATTCAATTGATAAAATAAATATTATTTGTTTAAAAAATTATAATAACAACATTTTTTTTTAATATTAATATTGGAATACTTTAAAATATCATTCAAAAGCAGAATGCCCAACAAGACTAAAACGAAAAATTCCAAATGATCTTATAAATTTGTAAATTATTATTATTATTATTATTATTATTGTTATTATTATTGTTATTATTATTATTATTATTACTATTATTATTTTTATTATTATTATTATTATTATTATTATTATATTATTATCTTACTATTTTTATTATTGTTATTTTGTTATATTTTATTATTTTTCTAGTATTATTTTATTATTCTGAAATTTTATTTATATTATTTATTAATCTTATTTTTATTATTATTTGCTTATATTTTACATTAAATCATATTACTGATATTATTTTCATGTAAATTTTATCCTTTGCTCTTTTATTTATTTAAATTTATATTATTATTTATCAATATTACTTGATGTTAATAAATTAGCAGTTGTAATAATTATTGAAATTAAAAAAAAATAAATAAATAAAAATTCAAAAGCAGAATAATGATTTTAGCGACCTAACACTAACAGTATAATTATGCTGTATAAGATTTATGAATCATTAATCAAACAAATTTTATTCAATTGCATTCAGTATGCGAGTTTGGGACATTTTTTTACATTTTGCCAAATATTTTGGAATTTTTATTCTGGACATTTTATATGTTTATCATATATATAAAAATGGATCGCAAAATGTGTTGGTAAGCGCATAACTCAACAATGCTTAGATCAATTTGGCCGTTTCTTTTTTTTAAATTTCTGTTGATGTCCAAGGATGGTTTTAACGACGAGAGAAAATCGAATAATTGTCAAGAAAACCCTAAAAACAGCACTTTTCTTTTTCTCATACAAACGTTTTCTAACTAAAACGTAGAATCAATTGGAGCTTTATTGCTATTATATAAATTTCATATTAAATTGCCAGCGCTTGCAAACTCCTCCTTAACGATTATTCGGATTTTGGTAAATCTTTCTGAAGTGTGTTAAAGAAATTTTCTAGGATGTATGTGATTATAAAGTTTCGCATTGAAAATAAATAAAAACTATCATCTGCCAAATATTTCAATTTACTTATGAACCTAGACAATATTAGAATATGTATAATAAATTTATGATAATGGATAAGAAAAATGAAATGTCCACAAATGTCCGAAAGACAGCTGAGATGTGTCAGAAATTAAAATAATATAAAATACAGTATATATGGCAGATTCAATGATACATATATAAACAAATATTACAAATTAGTTCACCTAAAATATAATCAGGGCCGGTCCTACCTTTAATGCGATGCATGCGCAAAGTACGAGTGCGTATGCCTTAGGGGGCGCCAACACAAGATTCGGATATTACATTTTCAATATAGTTTTTTTTTTCAATATATAATTTCTTTGCGTCTATTTTTATCTTTTCACAATATTTTTGAATTTCACAATTCGTAAAAATTTCACTTTATAACAACAAATGGGAAAGTAGAGAATACATACAATTCGGCCTTCACGATATCGATTAGGAAAAGTTTAGGATGCAATTTTGGATATCTTAAATAATAAGAAATTAAAGTAATTTAATCCAACATGAAGTACCAGTGTTATGTTATGGTTATGGTTATGTAATACCGTTTAAAAAACTTCAATTTCCAATATAGTGTGAGAATTGAGACTCATCATTTTATATCTCATCATTTATATCTTTTATCTAATCATTTTATCAGTTCTACATTTAACATCGCTCATATTATAAATGTATATGCATTTTGGCGTGAAGAGTAATTATTATTTTCAGGTAATAATAATTATAATTTTTAGGTAAACGGTAAATATTAGTATATTATATTAAAAATTGTAGACATGAGTATAGAACAACGTCTGTCGGGTCATCTAGTTTTAGTATAAACTAGATAAAATTTGCTAGAATTTAATGTATATTGTTATATTCACTTTTATATTAAAATTTTGAAAAATTTGTAGTTGAAGCGCAGATTTGAGTTTGATAATTGGCTATAGGTGGATTTTGGATGTTTTTTACATTTTGTGAAATAACTTTAAAACTATGTTCAGAACATGTTTATTTGTTTATACTAGTATAAACTAGATGAAATTTACTAACAAATAGTATAAATTGTTTTATATACTTGCATATCAAAATTTTGAACAATTTTCAGTTGAAACGCAAATTTAAACGTAATATGTAGATTTGGGACTTTTTTTACTTTTCTTCAAACAACTTTTAATTTTCTTTTCGGGCATGTAAATTTGTTTACATTAGTGAAAACTATATCAAATTTACTAGAATTTAGTACATATAGTTGGATACTAAAATTTCGTATAATTTTTAACTGGAACGAGAATTTGTGTCTGTGTACATTTTATCAAACAACTTGAAAATTTTGTTCTAGGCATTTTAATTTATTTATATTGGTAAAAAATAGATAAAATTTAGATTTATAAATCATAAACCATATTAAAAGCAAAGACTGCTATTCATGCTTTTGTTAAAACTACAGTGATGATATCAAATTATTCGATTATAATAAATGATTTATTTGAAGTTGAATCCATGAATACTATCCATGGATTGTTTTAAGAGCTTTTTTTAAACTTTGGAAATGATATCAAGTTATTCGATTAACACAAATGATGTACCCACCTACAAATTATTCAAATGTTTTTATTTTTTCACTAAGTTTTTGTGGTTTTATTTTCAAATAAAATATTCAAAGCTTACTTATTGTTACTAGTCTGGTATTAAGTAACAAATAATTTTATTTCATAAATAAATAAATATTTATTCTTATTATAGGTACTTATGCACTTATAGGAACAGGAACCAAAAAATCTGGGTCTCCCCTATACTAAAGGAAATTTATGATCAAGAACTTATTGGACAAAGTTTTTGGATGATTTTTTATTACGCCAAGGACGAAATTATCCTGTTTGATGAGCTTTCAGGGAGTGTACCACTGGAAAACAACAAAAACTTTGGTTGCAACATCGGAATTTTAGCAAAAAAATAGATTTGTTTTTGCTATTTTGGAAATGTTTTGACTGATTCCAAAAGATTTTCGGACGCTGATTTCAAACATGCTATCTATTTTTGGATAAACCCACACACCCCGCGAAAAATCGAAATCTTTGGTTGCAAAATCGATTTTTAAAAAAAAAAAATCGGCTTTTTTTCGCGATTTTCAAAATGTTTTGATTGGTTTTGATTGATTTTGGGACGCTGATTTCGAAAATATTATCCGTTTTTGGATAAATCCACATACACCCCCCGAAAATCGAAATCTTTGGTTGCAAAATCAAAATTTTACTAATGAAAATAAATTTTTTTTCGCGATTTTCAAAATGTTTTGACCGATTCTGATAGTTTTCGAGGCGCTGATTCCGAATAAGAAATCAGTTTTTGGAAAAAAAAATTCTTCTGCCCTTGGTACCAAATTGAAGTTTGAAAAATTGCCAACTTTGAAGCTGATTTTAACTATGAAGACGATGATAAATTTGTATTTTTTTTGGTTTGGTATAAAGATTGTACTTTAGTCTACACAAAGCATTAATTAAAATTATTAATTTCATTCATTAAGTGCCTTAAAATTGCATTTGAAAGTCACGATTTTGGCCAATTTTGGCTGCTCCTGA